GGGCTGTGATCTCTCAGCGCATAGACAGCAGGATGCAGCAGGAGGGCTGAGATGTGCGGCACATTATGAATGAGACACACTCTCTTAATTCTCCTTCCAGCTCGGGACCCAATGCCCACTCTATGCCAGCAGCTATTGATGGGGCTGAAGATACAATGATGGGCGAGTCTTATTGTGCAAGTCCATGTTGTGCAAGCACAGGCCCACATCCAACAGGACTTACACTAGTTCTCAGGGAACTCGGAGTTGTGACCTGCATTAAGAAGGGAAAATTACATAGTGACAATGTGGGAAAACTGAGCTGCCTGGGGACTGAAGGAGCCCTTTGGAGAGCTTAGAGTACATTTGAAAACAAGGATGAATTCACTCAGTGGTTTCGTGACAGGCTTCATCCCAGCTCCATTTTCAGACAACAGGTAAGGTGGGAGAGCTGTCACAGGAATATCTTGACTGCCTGTCTCGAAGCCATTCCGATTTAACTACATATAGCGAGGCTCATACAATGAGCAACCGGGGCCCAGTGTTTGAAGCAACTGTACTTAGGAGTCAGGCCTGTGCTGACACAGGTTTCTGTTCCCTAGTCCCTGGAACATGGCGTACTCTTCAGCTGAGAAGGAAGAGGTTTGTTTTTCTCCTCCCTAGCTTGGGACATCCTGACAACATTACGTCTAATCAGTTCTTGGGGCTTCCTGTTGAGGTCAAGAGGCATGACATGCATGTGTCTACATCTGTGATTCCTGTAGTGGGAAAGAGGGCACCTGTGCTGTGTGAGCTCAGTGTGGCTCATGGGCATTTGCCAAGGCGGCCAGGAGCTGATAAGATGTCTGGGCATTACAAAGGTGCTGACCTAGGAGTGTTTTGCCAGGAAAAGTCACAGGATATCAGCACCCCACCTGCCTATTTATCAAATGGAAGCCACAGCCTTTCCTCCCAGGGGAATAGAGCAGGAGCTTGTTATGCCCTCTGTGTGGGGTGGGGTGGGGTGGGGATTCTAACCAAGTCCTTCAGTTATTCTGAAAGGTTACTTCTCCCTTTTTGTGTCTCTGTGGCACAGTGCTTTTTGTAGGCACAATGAGGCTTCATTCAGCTGTCTACTCTGAATGGCTCTCCCAGTGCCAGCATCCTGGAAGGTGCTACTGCAGGCTTAGGGAACGAAGCACTGCCATGTGCATGTTTACACATACACACAGAGAGAAGGAAGCAAGGTGTGCATTCCAGGCCCCTTGACACAATTCCTTTCACACAGATCTGCTAAGGCAGCTGGATGCACAAGGTTGTTTTTACCTTTGCTGTGAATGAAGGACTGAAAGGAGGAGGAAGCTATCACTGGGAGGTGGTTGTGCACTGAAACCTATCTTTAAGAAGAGGAGACATCCTAGGAAGAAACCTGAGTGGTTATAGCAGAGACACACGTGCCCTCATATGGAACCAAAAGCAAATCAGGCAGCTGGGAGTTGCACTGGCAGCAGTCAACAGCCAGAGACCTGGGCCACTCACACCATGAAGGCGACTGTGATCACTGTGAAAAACAATGATGTCATCTTTAAGATCATTATTCTTTCTCCCTCAAGCTGACCATTCTGTATCATGGGCAGCATCTTCCCAATGAGACCCGAGTCACAGTAAGGTGAACAACCATCCGACTTTGCCTGGCATGGTCAGGTTTTTTGTTTGTTTTTTTTTTTTTGTTCTTAAAGTTCTAAATCTTGGGGAAGTCTCCCACCCCAGGATCTGAGCTGAGAAAGGGCTTTCTCAGGGGCAAGAAGCACCCTGCAATGTACATGGCAGCTTTTCACAAAATCCTGGAGAGCCAGAGCCAAGGGTCCATCTGAGCAGGAAGTTACACCGAACACCCAGGTGTGAAGAGCCACATAGATGCCTCACTGTAGAGAGCGCTGCCCAGGCTGCAAAAGCCACAGGCTTATTGGATTTTCCTCAATGTCAGCTGGATCAAAGAGAGGAAGGAAGCTAAAGAAACAGAGGGAAAGCCCCTGTGTTGACACTCCAGAGCCATCATAGTCCATGGGCCACACAGCAGGAGAGCACCATCTGATCAGCGTTTTGGAACCATTACCTGAATTATGAACATTCCCACTGAGGCCCAGATCCAGTGCTCTACAGAAAGTTGCAGGAGGAAGGCAAACCAGAGGCCACAAAGGTGGGGGAATGGCCCTAGGGACCAGCATGTGCCCAGGAGAGGGCAGTGTAGCTCATGAGTACCTGCACACACACACCCACCAGAGGGCCTGGGAAGGGCTGCTCAGGAGCGTGTGTCATCCTGCCCTGGCTTCCTAAGCCATGTTCTGCAGCAGGTGGCAGAGGTCATCTGGGTACAATATTGACAGAGTGACAAGAACTTGTTCAGTGTCATCTTGCCCCACATCACCCAGGACCCAGCTGTAAGACCCAAAGCACCTTGTAAACAAACATGCCATATAAATCCTTAAACACTGACTGACCCATACTTTTCAGAGTGGATAAGGAGAACCCAAGAGCTAAGTCAATCCAAGAAATAATCAAAACTTGGTGTTGTGGATTCCACTTAAGCAGCTGACCGAAAGCTGAGATCATGTGGGAAATCACAGCTGTGTCTCCTACTCTGGCCAGAACATTTTAGCTGTAATGACCTTTCCTCCACGCATGCCTGGGGTGCACACTGGCCAACCTCCTCCTCACCTCCAAACCTTCAGCTGGCCATGTCTAGTGCAGGCTTTCTCATTCTCTGCCCTTCATTTCTGCCCCTTCCTTTCCAAATCACTTAGTCTCTTTTTTTCAGACTCTTTTAATCTTGTTTCTTTTTATCTTCCTGCGAAGCAGAGGAAACAGGTCTCAGAGAAAGCAAGGCTGAGTTTTCAATTTGGAGACTACCACTTGTTAGTTGAACAGCCTCGGCTTTTGGCTTCTCTCGACACAGAATCCTTTTCATCATAGCAGGATAAAGTGGCAGCTATTTTGAAAAGCTCCAACTAGCGGCCAGTGAGATGTGTGTAAATATTGAGAGCAAGCGTGTGCACATAGCCTTTATGCCAGCAGCTCCTTCCCCATAGAGCTCCCATGGGTACTTAGAACTGTAGAGTGTACCAGAGCCTGTGGACTATGCTTTCAACTAGACCCACACATCTATGAGTATGAAAAGTTTATATTACATATTAGGCACAGGGAGACACTAACAACTATAGTACTAATGCCCATTTGCTATAATGAAAGTTATTTATAATTCATCAATTGTTAATTCCCGGAAATTTCCACTTAATATTTTCAAACCATGGTTGACTAGCTCACTGAAATGGTTGGAAGAGAAGCCTCCAATAGGTTATACTCAGTGTTTTTCAGAATATATTAGAGCAGTGAACAAGACATATAATTACCCCAAATCATACAGCAAAGTCCCTTTGTAGACAGTTGAACTCAGCTGACATATGGATTCTAAAGTCTGAAAAGTCTGATTCAGGACTCAGATGTTGCCTATAGACTTTTTTGGCTGAAAAACATGATTTTAGGAGCTCAGAAACAAAGTCTGATGATGGTCTTCACTAAATTACTTAGGACTTCTCCAAAGAGGTTCAGAGCCATCGGCTCTGGTACTCAGGCTCTGGGAAATGGCTGTCTGGGGCCCAGAGGGGCCTCAGAGCTGTACTTAGTCATCTTCATCTGACTTCCATGAGTCCATCTCAACCACTCATGACACAAGTTCAGAAATACACCAGGTCCATAGACATGGGAAAGCAGAAGGGCCCGAAGAAAGCTCCCATGCCCTTCCTGAGGATTTGCTTGAAGCTTGTCACGCTCCGGTGCTGCAGGATAGGGACCTGTAGCAGGCGTTGCCTCCAGTGGAGATGGCTTACATCCTTGATAGGAAATGTCACTTCTTATCTGGAGTCACACCTGCAGAGCCATTGCCCTCAAAACAGGACAAGCCCAGGGAGGTGGGGCTAACCAGGGATCAGAACCTAATGGATGCCTGAGGGAGCTTAGAAAACCGTCACTCAGGGGGGCCCATGAGGCTCTGGCAGAGCAAAAGAGCTAGTAGCCTATGGGTGCCCATGGAGGGAAAGACAGATTTTCTCAGCCACATGTCCTAGGGACCTTTCCTCTCTTCTGCCTCGTTAGGCTTCTAATCGGGGGAAACAAGGAGATCTGTCTGTCTTATTCATGGCAAGAGCAGCCTTATATGAAAGGGACCCAGCCTTGGCTTCATGGGTAACCTGCTTTCCTTAGAGGATACGGCCTGGGCAATAAGTACCCTTTGTGCTAAGTCCAGGCCATGTCTGACTAAGCCAAGGGACTTGGATTCTCTAGCCTTGTATGTTTAACATATGAAGTAAAGATTAACTTTCTACCAACCTCTTCAGGGACAGCACAATTTCGGATGCAGAAATGATCTCTTAGAAAATCTAAAACACCCTAGGCTTTCCTGTTATTAGCATAACGTTCCATATCCAGGAGGCATGTGCAACCACAGAAGTCAGTGAATTCATAGGACGACCTGGAGCTGAAACAGAGCTCAGAAGCCAGGTGGAGTTTTTAACTGCTTCAGGAGCCTGAGTTTTCTATAGTGTCTAGGTGGGAAGTAGATAAGAAGGCCTGCATTATACTGCACAGAGAGACCTGGGCGGGCGGGGGAGGGGGAGAAAAAAGTGTACGCTCTGTTGGGAGACTTTGAATTCACTAAGAGCTACGCTTTATGCTGGCAGACGAAGGTAGGTAGGGGAAGACAGCTGACGGCATCACAGACTAAGGGTGCTGCATCCCCAGTAGGAGCTCCAGCGAGCACACTGTGGATTCTCACTCAGCCTGTCGCTGCACTAGCGCTGATTTGGGGTTAGGAGGGGGGCAGAAGCGGGTTTGGCTTGAATATTGCCACATGGGCAGCAGGTGGTATGTAGAGCTGGCTTTCTCCTGAGTCAGCTCTTTTTTGCCCAGCCCTCAGTGGTGCCCTCCAGTAGCGGGGCTGCACAGTCAGCTTTGCCTCCAGTCCTGTTACCCCTACCAACGCTCACCTTTCTCAGCCTTGCAGCTCCTGTGCCCGAGCGGATGGCGTCCATCAAGGCTTGCCTGGCATCCACCGTGTTGCTGAGGGTGCCTGTGCTGAACCTAGAAGCCGTTATGGAGGCTGACGGAGCCTGGGGGGCTGGAGGGGGTGGTGGTGGCAGGACAGGTGGGGGTGGAAGGCCATGGTCTTCTTGCTGAGCTTTGTCCAAACCTGGGGCTAAGAGCGCAGCATCTCGGAAGTTCTGGAGCTCCTCAGAGGCAAGGGATGACACCTAACGAGACAGTTAAGTGATTACTAGAGTGAGGGCTCATGGACCCCATCTCATCTGTGACACCCCATGGTGATTGGGTTGACACTTTCAGGGGTGATGAGATCATAAATTGGAACTACCATGAACAGAATCAGTACCCTGTAAAAGAGACCCCAGAGAGTCCCGTGAACCTTCTGTCACGTGAAGCCTTGGTGTGAAGGTACACTGAACTAGACAGACAACCAAATGAATCATCAACTCTGCAGTTGCCATGATCTTTGACTTCTAGCTTCCAGAACTATAGGAAATAAACCTGCGTTGTTTCTAAGCCAGCCCGTCTATGGTGCCTTGCTACAGCAGCCTGCCAGACTCAGTTACCATTTGTGTAAAGGTCCTTTCCAAGAATACAGCACACAGCTACCCATCTCACAGTGAACCTCAAACAGCTCCTTAATGATGAATCACAAGAAACAGACATCTGTCTGCTGATGACTTATACACATATCCCTGTGCTCTTCCAAAGCATGGCCCACGGGCATTAAGCATGGCAGGAGTACTCTCTAGTCACTCAACTTTCCTTCACATGAGAGAAACAGAAGCCAGACATACAAACTTGAATAACGAGGGGTGAGGGTTGATAGTCACTAAGACCACAGGGGAAATGTCCATGTCACATCATTTCTTAAATCCCATGTATGACAGCTATGGGTGCGCTGTCTTGCCCCTAAACTCAATTAATATTTTGCTGGTAGTCGTGCATGTTTCGGGATAGCTTCACACAGCAGCCTCATTCTGTGAGGGTAGGCAGTGGCCTAGTTTTCCTAGCCCGAGATCATGCTGAGTGTGTGAGAGAATTTGGGAAGTGTTAGTGTACAAGGTAGGCTTGCAGAAAAGGCAGGAGGATGCCAATGGTCTCTCACTTTCTACGAGCAGCAGCTATGACCGCTGCCTGGATTCGGGAGACAATGTGCTGAGCGAGCAGAGTCTGCAGCTCTGATGGTGACTGCCATCTAGACAGAGTGATGGAAACTTGGTGGTCCTGGCCTAGGTTGCTGGGGCGAAGGATAGGCAAGTTTCTGAACCTGTTATATATACAGGGAGACCCTTTCCCTTACCTTCCTCAGGCTGAGAGTCCCGCTGTGGCCCCGAATGGCTGCCAGAAGGGCGGATCGCTCGCTCTCTGTCTCTGTGTAGGATGGTTTCTTTGGCCTTCCTTCTGAGGTGTGTTCTGCAGTCTAGAATATTAACAAGGTCAACATATTTCACTCTGACAATAAGGAAAGGCTCACTCCAAATCAGCGGAGGCCTATAGCATACATTCCACTCACTCTGTCTGCCTAAAGGTGCACTCAGAAGGTCCCAGAAATGCTTTCAACTTAGCCACAGTATCGCATAACCATTTGATTGTCTAGTTTCATCACATTCAAAAACTTTACATAGCCATTCAACACATTTGTAGAGCAGGCTTTGAGCTAGACTATGATGCTCAAATGTAGGCTGATGTAAATGTTCTGAGCACGAGCAGAGTTCAGTGCATTAAGGTTTTTACAGCTTAGGATATCTTCAACTTTCTATGGGCTACCATGACAGAACTCTGCAGTAAGCTGGGTGGGGGGGCAGCTATCTGGGAATCTAAAGCTATAGCTTTGGGGTTGCATCAAATGTTGGCTTTTACTATGAGACTATTCTTGCTATTCTCCCAGCTTTCCCTAACTGGCAATGTCGTAAATCTTGTAAATCTACTGAAAGCTTGTAAACCTGGATGAGAATGTTAGTGGGTGACATTGGGTCAGAGCATTTAGACTCACCCTACCATGTTTCAACTGAAAAAATAGAGAAAATAACTCATTATTAGCACTGGTTTAGTAATAACATTTTGATGTATTAAATGAGCTGATATGGAGAAGGATCACAAAATTCTTGTGGTTTTTTTTTAACTGTAGAATAGCAATGCCATCACATAATGTTTCAGTCAACAGTATACCACACTGATGACAACAGACTACCAAGACTGAAAAGAGCTGAAATACTCCTGTCTCTCAGGGACACTGTAGCCATACTATTGTCCTACTGCAATGACTTTTGCAGGTTTTTGGGGGTGATGCTAGTGTAGGCAAACCTATGCACTGTACTGGTAGACATGCATGGGTATGACACACAGTTGTATATAGTTGTAACCCTGGATTATGACACGGGTGACCGTGTTACTGTATTATGCATTCACTATACTATAGGTTCTATGGTTATTTTGGCATGGACAACTACCTTTAGGATTTGGTTTTATTCCTTTATCTACCTCCAAAATGATGAGGCCTGCTATTAGATCAGTGGCACCTTTTCATCTCCTGATGATTACACTTGATGTAACGAGAAGTCCCTGTTGAGTGCCGGCCTGTTGCCATGTAGGCTTGTGCGACACCTCACGATGGTCACACAACAATGAATCCAGACTGCCATGCCATTCTCAGAATGTGCAGCTGTGTTGATCAGTACACAGCTGATCAGAAAGCAGTGGCCCTGCCTGAGTCTTACTCTCTCAGAGTGTCAAGATGTTCTCCGGGAGCTCATGAAAGGCATAGTCCTCAGCCTGTTACCACTGGAAGCTGGTGGAGACTTTAGGAGGTGGTACCTGGTAGGAGGTCCAAGGTCACTGGAAGGAGGTCCTTGAAGGGGATGGTGGGATACTTGTCTCTTTCGCCTCCCTGGTTATGAGGTGAGCATTTGATCTCACCATACTCTGTTGCTTTGCCACAGGCTCAAAAGCAATAAGCTAACTGACCATGAACTAAAAACTCCAAACTGTGAGCCAAGACAAACTTTTCCTTTTTCTAAGTTTTTCAGGTACTTTGTTATGAGAACACAAAGCTGACAAGAGTGCTTCCAGACCAGAGTATAGTCACATACCCTGGCCTCCCTATCACTCTGGCCCAGAGGATGGATATTTATTGATTGACATCTTTTCCCTTGCACTGCTGGAACTTGACAAGATAAAGCCCATCAGCCTCTCTAGTGCTTTTATTTAAATGCTTTGAAAGCAGGAGACAGAACGTAGTTAAAATGAAACCTGCAAACTAGCAGCTCTGTCTTTGCAGTCTTTCCTCCAGTCCCATTCTCAAGATCTACAACAGGGATGAAAGGCCTGCTCAGGTGCTCCCTGTACCCAACCCCTGATGCCCACCACATTCACTGTGCTCCCTGCACCCAACCCCGATGCCCACCACTGCACCCAACCCTGATGCCTACCACATTCACTGTGCTCCCTGCACCCAACCCCGATGCCCACCACTGCACCCAACCCTGATGCCCACCACATTCACTGTGCTCCCTGCACCCAACCCCGATGCCCACCACATTCACCTTGCGGAGCTTGTCCCTCCCTCCTGATGAGTGTATAGCTTCCATTAGGGCACTATGCAGAGATGTGTCTTTTGGAACTGGCCTTTGAACAACAGGCTTGAATTTTTTCTTTGGCCCAAAAATGCTGGATGGTAGAACATCATCTGTGTCTTGAACATCTGTAGTTAACGGACTAGGTTTTTCCTCTGTCTGTAAGATGATGTAGCTAGTAGGGCTAGACTCTTTTGGACAGTGAGGAGGCTCACAATTTCCTGGGGCCCGTGCAGAACCATTCATCAGTATCCTCCCAGAGTCACGGGCCTCTGCCAAGAGTGGAGGGGGCGGGTGCGGGTGCGTCCTGTCCGGTGCCCGTGTGGGGTTAGATGTTGAGCTCGTCTTTTGGTTACTTATAGTTTGCTTTTCATTGAAACCACAGCTCGGTCCCACAGAAACACGATCCCTCTGGGAAGATCTGACTGGGAGGAAATTGGAGTTTCTGTGGACAGCAGCAGGACAGTCTTGAGTAGCTGGCTTCCCATACGGGCTGCTGACCCCTACCCTGGGATGGTCTCCTGCTGGCACATGCACACCAGGGTTGCTGGAAAGGCAGACAGAGCCCTGGTTTGTATCAGGCTCATGCTGTCGTGCCTCTGAGTATTGGTTGGGAGCTGCATCGTCTTTCCCAGTGGGAGGTGGTCTAACCAGCTTTGGTTCTTCACGACCCTTTTCAGCCGTCTTTTTATGTGGTCTCACCACATCAGCATGGACTCTTGGAGGCCCCATCTTCTTGGCAATAGCAGAGGCCACGTACTGGCTGGATGTTCTTCTCTGAGGCTTGAGGAATGTGACTTCTGCGGGGTTAGCCGCTGGCACTTTCACATGACAAGAGACTGCTGACCGTGGCCGGCTTCTTTCTTCCTCCAGGTGGGCCCCATATTCCTGTGGGGCAGGCTGTTGCTGGGGAGTGGGCGTTGTGAAGGTTGCCTTCAGTCCATTTTCCTGCTGTGGTTTTGCTGGTGTGGCAGTGGTGGCAGTGGAGGGAGCGCTTTTGGCTGTACACTCTGCTGCTGGCCCATTCAGGTATTTTTCCATTGAGTTACGCCTCCAGAACTCTTTGACTTTTCCAATAGGCTGTGCATCCGTTTCGACAACAGCTGATGACCGGGATATGGTCCTGCTCCCATTCATGTGTGGACTCACCAGATTCCCTAGTTCATCAATCTTAATGGCACCAGTGGAGAGGGACACATCCCTGTCATAATACCTCATCTCTGATTTGGGAGGGACAATTTTATATGTAGTGAGGCCATACTTGAGTCCATAGCTTCCCCCTGAGGCCTGGCCATGCTGAGACCATAGTGGTAGTGCTGAGATGGGGTTTTCCTCCTCACCATCTTTTTGATTCACTGGCAGTGAATTTACTCCGGGACCTGCCTGTGTCTTCTGGCTGTGAGTAGATCCATGCCCCTTGCCTTTATCCTTCGCTTTTAGGTCATCTATAAAAAGCTTTGAAACAAATGAAGTACCTCTGGGATCTCTTTCCATCAGATTCTCATCTTCAGAAGTATTGGCTAAGGTTGATGACTGATTTCTCTTTCTGACATCTTGGGAAGGAGGGGAGGGGTCAGGCTCTTTTCTATTTGTCCTTACATGGGGCTGGCTATGCTCAGTCTGAAATGGGGACAGGTGAGATCTTTGGCTGGCAATGCCCTCTGTGTTAAAAGTAGCCGCATTGTTGCTTCTGCTGGGGAACAGTCCTGAGTCAACAGGCTCATCAGAAACCTCCCCAATAAATGTAATTGGGATGTCATCCATGCCATTATCAGGGATTATGGCTTCTTGCAGACTGTGGTTAGACACACCATTTATGGAGCTGGTTAGAGAGCTGGTATCTGTTTCATAATTTTCTTCCATTCCTGCAGCGAAAGATAAACACAAGTTACCAATTGGTACCCTTTGTAGTATTTCCAGTGAGTTAATGCAAGCATGGCCAATCCTTTGATTTCCCCAGGGATTCCTACTGTGTTTTGTAAAGCATACATGTTAAGTGTTATCTTGATTTATAATCTACATCTGTCTGGAGCCAGAAGTGCAACTTTTACCATACAGCAAGAGAGCCATTTGCAGATCCATGATGTTTCAGGGTGAGATGTTTAGTCACCACATTTTGCCAAGTCATCCAATCATAAGACAGATTCCTACATTTGAAATTCTGGAAAATGTCCTCAAGTGAACTGGGATCTTATCCTTCCTATTTCTTGTGTCTACTAGGAGCACAGCAAGATATGAGGAATGATTTGTTCTAGCTTTAATTTCTTAAAGAGAGAATAAGTAAGTTTTGGTGTCTTCAGAATTACACTGATTCTTCAAAGCACTAAATGATGGAGTGGGTCATGTGGTCACAGTGTGTGGGAGACTATATGGCTGGTTCAGATTCCCAGCTGTGTCAACCGAATACCAATGAGGAGACACAGAAAACTGAATTAGACAAAGACAGGGTCAGTTTTAATGTCTGTTTTATCCTTGTTGTGTTTTTCTAGTTTATTTCTGATGTGTGCCACGAAGAAAATAGTGTGGCTTTCTTTGTCTAAAGGAGTTCCTGCTTACTTACTGTAATTATTTGTACCTGCCTTGACCTTATAGTGCTATTTTCCAAGAAACATGTTAAAAGAACAGCAGTGCCATGGGGCATTCCATGGTAAGGGTGTTTATCATGGACAAAAGATTGTGTATTTTGCACTAACAAGCAAGGAGGAGTTATAAGTTTTAATAGACAGCTGCTTCTCTTTGTGCCATCTAGGGCTTCCCTACCTCATTTTGGTATTCTGGATGTTTCTATCTTTAATGTGTGTAGACTGATACTTAACACTCTAAAGTAGCATTGCTTGTCACACACTTTAAAAACTACTGAGATCCTTTCTTAATATCGCTTGGAGCCCTGACAAAAAGCAGTCCATCAAGAACAGCCCTCACCTGAGAGAGGAGTTTAGCCCTTACATACAGGCAAAACACATCCAAAACAAGCTGCAATCCCAAGACTTCTTTCTTGTGGAGTCATACCAAAGTACTCAGAAAAAGTGCCTTCCTGTAAGGTCATACAGGATGCTATCAAAGTAGGAGGCTTGTGGCTGTTACCTTCCAGGTCTCCATCAAGTTCTGCCAGGGTTTGATGGAGGTGTCCAGTAATGAATAGGTCTTCATCATCATTTGGAGGCATGGTGACTTTCTCGTTTCTAAGGAAGACCAAAGAGAAAAGAAGAGTGCTTATTTTCCTAGTACTGATTAGAACTTAGTCCTCTTTTCCAGAAAGTTCAGTTCATATTCAAGGCTAAGTAGTCCCACATTCACTGGACCACTGCTGTCCTTGGAACTACACAGATTTGCACGGGTGATGTCTGTATACTGTATAAGGCGTGTAAGTTACGCATGTAGTACCTGATATGTTTGGAGTGTTACGTTCATATTAGTCCCAAAATGTTATCAACACCTGAACCCCATGTAGTTGGAATGTGGTCCCCATGTCTTCATTCTGCTACACCAGACAAGTAAACATGCTGGTAGGTCTCGTGTACATATCTGAGTTGCACCGCGCTTGGCGTTCTAAGAAGAGAGGCACCTGATGACTAGCTGTTTGTCATGATGCCAGGGCCGTGTCTCTCTGCTAGACTCTAAACTGTCAGCCTGTTCCTGAACATCTGCATCATGAACATCTGTCCGTGAACATCAGTGTCCCTCAGGCTGCAGTCATGTAGGCTTCAGGCTCTGGTACAGGACACTTTCGAACTTCCTACGCTGTCAGAGAGAATCTAAGAGCAGAGCACGTGGGCCCGTGTGGGGAGCATTCAGAAGTCCTTCGATTTTGCCTGCCCACTGTGCCGCCTCTCTGCAGTGAACCATCTGCAAGGTTTGGAAAGGGAGGAACAACTCGTTTCTCTACAATAAGGGGCTTTCATACTGTCTGATATGTTTCTTTTTCATCACATTATTGCATCTTAGTTCCTGCATGGGGCAGAAGATGCGAGTTATGGGGACTTGGGAAACCTGACTGTGCCCCACACGGAGGCGAACTACCTTTGGATTCTTTTTATTGTAACCATAAAGACCATGACAAGAGAGACCGAAAACATTCAGCCCACTGGAATAGTAGAAAAGCTCCCATTCTTGGCTTTCCCTGTGGCTTCCTTCCTGGAGGTCTTTCAGAGGGAGGCTCCAGAAGATGGCATGCCTCTGTGCTAGAGAGGCAGCTTTGGCCTGCTGGACCCCAAAAAGAGATTAGTTGTATAAATCACCTTATCACAACCCTCACAAATGATTTACAAGGTAAGTGGTGTCATCATTGTCATTGTTCAGATAAGAAACTGTAGAGAGAGACCAACTGGCATGCGCAAGTTCACATAGCATTCAAAGCCAGGTGCACCTGCTCCAAAGCTCGAGTAAGGGTAGGCTGCATTGATCAGGTGGCCCAGCCATGTCTAGGGTCAAGAGGGACAATGTGGCCTGCGGTGGCACAGGGCATCCTAAGATATGTCATCCTGCTGCTCAGGAGAGGGAGGTCATAATTTATTTGCGTCACAGGGACAATGGCATATGTGAGACAAATGCTGCCAAAACAATTTGAAAGCTGCCTCTGCGAGGGCCTTTGCCTCTGTTTTCCTATTGTGTAGAAAACACAGGCATGTCTAGGGCAATTGTCCGTCTTCAGTGAGAGCTGAAGGTTCCTTTCCGCTGACTGTTAAAATTGAGGACCAATTTCCATCATTGCTAATCAGGCCCAGATAATGATGCATGAAATGTGCCTTGTACAATCCTCACTTACGCAGCAAAATTTTTATTCTAATAAATGAGTCTTTCTTTCTTCGTGACTATGTCCATTTGGGAGCCAGGAAGTAGCTTCAGGATCAGTCTCTGCTAATGTCCTCTGACAGGCTAGACAAAAGGGGCTGGTTGGAGATGTGTGTGCATGCAGACCAATTAATCAGGACCACAAGAGGTGCCCAACTGTCCTTCCCACTGCTTTGCTTTTGGCCTTTAATTGTTTCAGTGCAGTCTACTAAAGCTGTTTCTCTCCCAGGGAATGTGATGGAAAAAAATAAATTCAAATATTTACTAGAATACATGGCAGAGGAAAATATGGAAATTTCCAGGCAAAATGGTATTTGACATATAAAACAAATCAGTTTTTAGATTTATACTTGTGGTTTAGGATGCTTAAAGTCCAGCCAAAGAACATATAATAAAAATATATGTATATGTATACATATATTCACATATATATTCTTTTACATTAAGGTATTTGTCTTCAAAGAATGTATGGTTCTATCACCCAGGAGACATTGAAAAGAAGATTATCAGTAAGAATTAAAACTAAATTCCACCATTTTATTCTAAATGTTAAACTAGGAAAGAAAGGAAACCACTTTGAACTAACGAAACTGCAATAAATATAAGACACGCACACCTGCTGCTGATTTTAAATGGAACACAATATGGAATCACATATCAACAAACAACACTTTATCTTTGTAAGGAAGCAATTCAACTGGAGGAGAAAATATAAATGCAACAGTATTCATTGTATTCTGTGAAGCAATCTAAAATATTCAGCTGCAAGGAGAGCTGTCTCCATTGTAAAGGGCAATAAAATCAGTAATTCTGACATCAGAGAGCCTGTGGAGAAATACAGTCCAATCAGTAACCATGACAATCAGAGAGCCTATGGAGAAACACGGACTAATGCTGCTTCTAGCACAATGCATGAGAAAAAAACAACAAACCAAGACACAGAACTATATATAGGATAACTGTGACGACAAACACTACATACGCCTGTGGACAAGGGTGGGCTAGGAATGAGCCGCAGTGTGCTGTACTGAAAAGGAGGATTTGCAGGGGCTGTTTACCATCAGTGCCTTGTGTGATAAAGTAATTGTTTAAAGTGCATGCTTACATATTTGGGTGCTTTTATGTGCCTGAATGTGGAAGTTTTGGAGATGGCCTCGCTCTAGAGTTCCCCATGTAGGCTAGACTGTCTGGTCAGTGAGCTATGGGGATCCTCTTGGCTCTGCCTCCATTGTGCTAGAAATAAAAACACATGCCATCATACTGGGCTTTTTTTTTTTTTTTAAATGTAGGTTCTGGAGATTGGACTCAGTTCTTCATGATCATATGACAAGCTCTTTACTGACCTATCTCCCAAGACTGATGAGCCTATTTTAATGTGCAAAATTTAAACTGTTTTCAGACTCCAGTTAACGATTCTTTTTTGTTGTAAAAGAGTTTAAATGTTTTTCACATGAATGGTATGGCAAGGCCTTCTTTCCTACAGGAGCCTACTGGTCCCAAGATCTCACTGGCCATCTATCAGGGAGAAGACTACAGTCAGTTCGGAGCAGCTTCAGTCCTTCAGCAAACTCCTACCACCCAGGAGCAGTCTCAACTGCTCTATTAGTAGCTTAGTTCTAGGTGTATGGGCTTTCTTGGCTAGTTTCTTCCCTGCATCCAGATCAACTGTCGTGCTCAAGTCTGAGGTTCCATACTACTACAGCTACTCCTTCTCCCAGGTCTTCTTTCCCCTGACCAGTCCTTTTCCTCTTCCTGCCTCATATAGACTTAAAGACTTCCCTTTCCACCCACTGATGCTGGCACCCAGTCTCAGACCCTGCCAGCACACCTCTATTCTCCCATGGTCCTGGCCTTGCTCCCTGGCACTCGGATGTGATTTGTGCCCTTAGGGTCATAGTTATTCGGGGAGGAGTAGACATATGCCAGCAGTAGCCAACCTGGGTGCCTTACGGAATGCAGGAAAGTCTAACCATTGCCAGGCCCTTGGCTTAGGTTTCTTACAAAGCTGCCAAGTCCCTTCACTCTCTGAGCAAGGTAGCAATGGGTCCCTTTCACTGCTTCTTCAGCTTGCCCTACTTTTGATGTACCTCAAGGATTGCTATTTTCTGAGCCTGAGCTTTTGCATGAAGGGTTATCTAGTCAAGATCAATGCCAATGTACAATTGACCAATTTTGTCTTCCTGTCTAAGATTTCTGGGGTTAGAGATCTAGTGGCATTTGCTTTTCCTCCATAGCCATTCTCCATTGTTGCAGAGGGTTACACTGAAGCATGAGACTGCCATTCCTCTTTGGAACTTACCTGGACTCAATCATGGGGCCTAAAGAGTAGCTTCCTGGGCTTACAGGAGAGCACAAGGCATGCAGCACTGAATGCATAGTGGGCAGAGAGCAATGTATCTGCTGACACAAAGCACGGATGTTTCTTTCCCAGGCTCCCCACCTCCCCCGACAATGACCAAATCTTTAGATAGAGTTCTTATTGGCAGTTTATTGTGGCTGAAGACCAAGAAAACTGAAAGCAGACAAACATTGAGTGGGCATTTTGCTATCAGCCTGCACATGTTGAATAAACACAGCCAGAGCTATTTTCTCACACAGAACTGGAGGTGATGACTGTGGAGAATGTGATAATGTTCATGCTATTGCTGCATAAGGTATGAGGGACAAGCAAAGAGCACCGGGGACTTCCAAACCCATCTGTCTAGGAGGCTCATCTGCCTCATATGCCTTCTCTTTGGGAGCTCAGAGTGGAGCTAGAGGGGATGCCTCTTATCCAGCTGTGGCAGCTTTGGCCCAGCTTGGCCTCAGCACTTGTTTCTGTAGCTCCAGGCAGATGAGAATAGGGAATTGCCCTGTCTATTCAGTGCCAGGACAAATAGGAGCTTGGTGAGATTTTCTTTCCATTTGCTTTTAGAAAAGAAAAGGTGAATAGCATGATTCTGACTCATCTCAAATCATAAGATACTCGCAGTGCATTGTTATGCTTCTTTTTGATTTGGCTGAGTTTCTCTAAGAGATGTATGCAATTGTGAACAATGTCTAAGAGGAAAATCACGATGTTTTCAGAGAGCAGTGTAATTTGTTTATGGAGACCAAAGCAACCCTGCTACTGCAAAATGATAAGGGCAGCCTGAGAGTAGGTAGCCTGGGAAACTGGATGACTGCTGCACATGCTCACTGCAGCTGTAAGCATTCCCCTGGTGATAAGGCTTCAGACTGTGACACTGGTGTTTAATACACGGGGGGGTCATATGTGTAATTTTACATCTTCTTACAATCCTATTTTAAAGGAGAGAAGTGAATGCAATTTTAATTGCTTTAATTTTAGCTTTATGTACACATGTGATTAAAACATTTGTACACGGTGCACTAGAATTGATGAATATTTTAGACATACAAATTATTTCAACTTGGATAGCCATGTGGCAAGTGCTTAGCAGCTAATATGACTAGCGGCTATAGTAGAGTCCAGCACTCAATATTTTTCTATAGTATTGGAGATCACATCAGGGCCTTATGTATACAAGGCAAGCACTCTACCAAATGAGTGCTGTCCTCAACGCTTCCCACATTCCTGTGTGTTCTGATACTCCTTAGAAGGACTGTACAACATATAATATGCTTTTCACTGTTCCTGTAGCTACTGTGCTGATGGTCATAAATACTCAGGATTCTACATGGTCATGGTGTTGTTTATAAACGCTTCTGTGGTCACACAGTTTCTGGACTCCAGGTATTATGGTCTGAGCTACATGAATGACTTCTGAAACTTTTGTGGCCACAGTTGCTGGAGTTCTAGTTTAGGGATCCAGAGGCTGGATGATGTAGAATCTAGGGCCCAAGTTCCTTTCCAGTCTCAGTCTACATGCAAGGCTACTTGGGAACACATGCTCTGAAAGTGGGGGAAGAATTTCTCTCAAACTGTAATTATGAACCTCACTGCTACCATCCTACCATTTACCAACAAGCTGGGGCTAGGAAGGTCCTTGAAGGGTTTCCAGGTAGAGAGTGGGGCAATGGATGAGGGTGGGAGAGGGGACCCTCTTCACTGCAGAAACTATACTTCTCTTCACACATATACACTATTTAAAAAAATCCTCTGAAAAATCCATACATGTAATGACATGTTCTGACCGTTTTCACCCCATCCCTCCTCCCATCCTCTTCACAGTTCTGCTGAGTCCTTCTTCCCAAGAAGTCACTTCCGCTCTCAGGTGTCTTGCTTTTACTATCATTCATGACCCACCGAGCTGAACGAGGTTAGTTAGTGTGAACATGGATGGATGCTTGTTTATTAGACCATGAGCAACCTACCAGTAGCCACAGCACTGAGAAAAGTGACTTCCCTTTCTCCCCAGCAACCGTCACTTGTCAACAACTCCTGATAATGTGAGAGGGGTGAGGCCTCATGGCCCCTCCTCTAAGCATGATGGATGGTGGACAGGCTCCATTTTGTGCAGGTCTTTTGTTAAGTACCTGCAGCCGCTGTGAGTTCATGGGTCCAATGGACATGTCACGTACCGCAGATGGTGTTTCACGGCATCCTCCCCATCCTCTGGCTCTTACATTACCATCTTTTGTAATGCCGAAGGGATATTGTATTTTCTACTTTGGGAGGCTCTCCATGTGACTGCATGTGGATACACTGTTAAGAAAAACCCCAAGCCACACCGTCATCTCTCTGATTCACATTTTACAGCATTTTTGCCTAACTGAAGCTCCCCACAGGAACCTTGGAACTCAGAGTTTCATGATGCTGATGTGTAGACAGACGAAGTGCCTGATGACAGCCAGATGGTTCTGGGGATCCACTGTTTAGCAACATTGTTAGCTCTTAGTCTTCTTGGGGTGGGAGAGACAACATCCCCTCTGCTTCTCCCTTCTCTGCCTATTATTTCTACTCAAAAAAAAAGATGTTCTAGTTTGAAGAGGAGGCAGGCAAGCAGAGCTGGAAATGATCATAAAGATTATCCAAAGAATCCTGTTTCTCTTATTCCTCCATGAACTGTAAATGATGGCAACAGCAACAATAATAGTATCAGGCACCACTTTTGAAGGCTAACAACATGCTAGTCACTATTCTAACAGGAAATGCTACATATCTCAATTTTACTGAGGAAGAAATAGAAGGCAGAAGGGAATGTGCAGGCCAAAGGCCCACTTTTGCCCAGCTATTCTTTAAGAATAAGGAATGGTGGCCTGGGTCCTCTCTAACAGACAGGTGTAAGATACTTCTAAGTCCATCTAGCATGAATTGTAACCATTTTCCTCGGGAAAAGCTACTGGTGAGGCTCAAAGTGTCACTCAGAAGGAGGGACCGCCACCACAGGCATATCTCACCTGTGTGTGTGTCCACCTTTCGGCCAGAATTCCTCTTGTGAATTGATTTTGTGTACCAAGTTTAGAGGAAGACAATGGAAAGATGATGCCCCAGTTTTTGGGTGCAGTTTGAATTCAGGGCAGTGAATAATTTGCAACTGGATCTAATCAAATGAGTTGATGGAAAAGCACCCCCCTTTTCAAACTGTACCACACACAATAAACTAGACTTATGGTCAACCATTCCCACTTGCTTTATTGTGTTAGAAGATAGGGTTTTACGACTGAGGTCCTTAAACTTAAAGCCTAGGCTCCAGGGACACTGGGTGGTACTCATCAACACAAGCCAGCAATGAAGAAGCAGTCATAGTGGCAAGGGGCTAAGTCTCTACCCTCAGCCATGCCAAATCAAAGCAGCAACTCTACCACATGACTGCACAGTAGAAAAAAGACCGCTAGTAGCAGAGGGTGACCCCCACAGTCCTCTGGATGGGTGCTTGGGAGAAACAGTAAAATGCAAACCCAGGCAATCCATTCTCCCAAACACAGATGATATCAATAAGTAAAGACAAGAGAAGCTAAGGAAAGCAGGACCTTTTGGGCTTTTATGGGTCATGATTTGTCTTTACGTGATGTTCAAACAGCATTTAGTGACTTCCTGAGGAATGGAGGTGTGGCAACAGAAGATCTCATGCTAGTAAAGTTGAAAGCCATAGGTAATTCTTACCTCCCTAGTGACTGACCCCATACTTTCTGCATGTTGAGGGTATCTATGACAACTTCCTGGAATCCACTCTCATCCTAGAGTCCTGACCTTGCTTGTTATGGCAAAGGGTAACTTTTGGTGTCCTTAACCTTCTAGGGTCTAGCATTCAGAGGTGACAGAGAGGGACACAATATAGCCTGGTCTCATACTACCATTATGCCCCATGCAGGATGAACCCTTTTGGGAACACAAACAGCCATCTTAATATTAGTTCAGAAACTAGGTATTGGATTGGGATTATTCTGGGTAGAGGCAGGAGTTTGGAATGACATCTGCATCTGCACTAAGTATGAACCCTGGTAGGAAGAAGATACTAAACAGAGTTTCCAAACAGTGCTTAAGGGAGCACCATCCTAAGTCCCACCCAGAGGCCTTTTGCAGGGGGTTGTATAAACCAGTGTCCTTGTCTGCAAGGTCTTCAAGATCTTCTAATAACCCACTGAGGCTGAGAGGAGAATATCATGGCTTCCCAGATATATCTGTACATGCTCTTATTCTGAATAGCTGTAGCAACATCTGAAAGGTTACAGATGGGCAATCAGGGTAAAAGTGCTTCCATAAGAGTCACAGAATAGTGAAGGCATCCCTATATACTTACTTAAGGGCACACCTGAGGACTGCCTACGATGGATTGCACACCTGTTTAGTCTCGCCATGAATACTCAAGTTACATAACAGCATTTTACGTTTGTGAGATGTGAAATGCAAATCTGGATGTCTGGCACACTTCAGACACCATCCACACAAGGTCTGTAACCTCCTTGCCAGGTGATAACTAGATGTCCACAAAAGGGCTAGCTTCAGGTGATGCCTGCAAGTCCTCTGCCCTCACTGTCTGCTCCCTTAACGATGGCCGTTGACCTCACCCCATGCCAGCTGCAGCACATGAGCTTCAACCCCTTCTTACACTATGGACATCGCCTACCATCCACCTGGCAACGCTCTGAACTGCGTACTTTGAAATACACACACAATAAACGCGTGGGCTGAGAATGTATGATTTTTCAGCTGAGATACTTTCTGCCGAAAATTTTAACCTCCTCCAACCTACAGTTTTTCATTTCATGAAAAGAGAGACCTGAGGTCATCTCTTGAGAGGATAACTTAGTGTCTCAGTCAGGATTTGAGATCAGAGATAGTCGTCTTCTTCGCCCAGCTGACAAGGTGAACAAGGTCAGAGAGAGGAAAGTGACAGGGACCAGTGTTGTGCAAAGTGGTCCAGAGTGATGTAGCTATTGAAACTTGTTGCCAAGTCAGGGAGGAAGTGGATCCTGGTAAAAACAAAACAAAACAAAACAAAACAACAACAACAAAAAACCCAGACTCTTATCACAACATACCTGAAAAGGAACCACAGGTAGAGGAGCACCCTGGTGTAAGAAAGCAACAGAATTTCAGCCAATTAAGTCCTTGAGGTAATAGGAGGGGTCCCTTAAATATGCAGAGACTATATACATTTGGAAGGCCAGGACACATTCAATCATATGACACAGGAAATTATTGTACAATTTAAAATAACAAAATTAAATTCAATCTTCAGACTTAGAAACTGCTTATGGTCAAATAGCCAATGAAGAAGTTACTAATTTAAATATGGCAAGACATACAATTAAAAAAAACATAATAAAGTACACAGAAAACAATTCATAAAGCACAAGATCAAATTGTTAGTAAACAGATTATATAATCAATCTTTACTATCCAAAGACTATAAATTGAGGACACTTGAGATGCTATTTGACACTCATGGGATCAGCAAAACTTAGATGTCTACTAACCGCAAATACAGACACACTGATATTCCATGTAGTTGATGAATTTTTCTGATGACCTAATTTCTCCTCTGGAAAACTCTCTATATTACACAGAAACGTACGTGTAGTTTGCTTATTGTTTCCAGCCCTGAAAACCTGGAATAACCTGAGTCCATTAGTATGAAAGAGGACAAATACATGAATGGTCACTCTATGTGTTATCAAGGGTGACTTTTAACACTGTCGAGTAGAAAAGTAGATCACAGGATAGTGCCTTTGGATCCAGTGTCAAGGCACACCAAACATTCTAATGCATTGCTTATAAGCATCTTCATGTTTACACGCAGCATGAAGACAGGACTAGAGATAACAAATTGCAAATTAGGGTGGGGACACATCCATGGAAGGCACATGGCACTGGGCTTTCAATGATCATTATTTGGGTCACCCTGACAAAAACGTCTTTCATTGAAAACTAGGAGGTGGGTATAGGTGGCTCCACCTCCAGCTATTCCATGACTCACCTTAGAATTGAGTTCCCAGAGCCATTTTTCCCCCGTGATGGGCTCTTTTGGGGAGCCAGTTCTGGAGTTCCAGCTAGGTCCTGGTCGCTGCAGTCCTCCTGGTCTGTGGCCCATTTATCCTTAGATCTCATGCTGTCTTGTTGTGAGTCCAGAGAGATGACATCTGAGGGAGAGCTCATCACCCCCGAGTCCTCGGTTGTATCCTCGGATGCAAAACAGCTGCCCACAGATGCTGTCTCCTCAGCCTCTGGTGGCACCTGTGAGACTCCTCCCATGCTGCAGTGGCTGCCAGGCCCCAGGGGCAGGCTCACTGGAGAGGACACACAAAGACAGGTCAACACAGGCCACTCAGGGTGTCATGCTTCCTAACATGGGCAACATCCCTTTGACTTATCTGAAATGTATGATTCAGGTAGATTTATGTAAGGAAGACCCCCTGCCAAACCAATAGCATCCCCTGGAAACGTGACAAGGCCTTATGTGTATGCATAATTGACGTAAACTTTCCCATAAAAATTGGGTACTTGATTAATTTTGTTTATTTATCTTTGTGGTGCTTGGGATTTAACCAGGGCATTGCACATGCTAAGGAAGGGCCCAACCAAGGAGCTACATCTTCAAACCCTTAATTAGTCCTCTAAACATGCATCCTCCAGGCAATTATGCTGATTAAATATTCAAGCTAGTGATAATGAAAGCAACTGTTTGTAGTCTGACTCTTAAAACGACTTCATATATATGCACACATACATATACACATTTATGTATATAACAACAATTAATGAAAAAAACAGGGCCATGAACTTGAAAAAAAGGAAGGAGGGGTATATAGCAGTGCTTGGAGGGAGGAAAGAGAAGGGAGAAATGAAGTAATTATAATTTCAAAAATAAAAGAAATAACAAAAAGTGACTTCCTTAAACAAGCAAACAAAAACACTAAGAATAACTAGAAGTAAACCATTCTGGTAAAGGGATTCTGACCAGCAGCCTCACAGAATGATGCTGGAAATGTGATCCTACATGTTCATGACATTCCTCCTCAATGTTTGGACCTGTCTTCATTGTTAGACTTGAGATAAGTTTTTGTGTAAATAAGAGATGAGCTTGGAAGGGAAGGTAAAATTAAAAGGTATCAGAACTCAAGTACCAGTGGTTGATTGATGTCTGTGTGCATTAAGAAGAAACACACAGGGAGATTGTATGCAGAGCTGTGTGTGACTTTCTGTTGACTTTAGAGTTTGTCTCTGTTGAGACCTGATAGGGAACACGGCAGTCGTCCTGCTACTTGGAGACATGTTATATATCACTAGTGAGAAGTCACCTTTCTCTCCCGGAGTGTCAGAAAGCTCTGTGTATAGAGCTGGAGTTTGCAAGATAGCAGTTGACCATTCTCCACTAGTTGTACTCTAGGGTTGCAGTTGATTCAGTAGACACAGGTTCTAGATCTAAAGATTCGAGGCTAGCACCAGGTACTGTGTTCCAAAGTCAATCCCTTTCCCATAGCCCCTGGACTTTCGGTGTTGATGTAGGCTGTCGATGTGTGCAAGTGCACACTCCGATGATATTACTGTGCATTCATACAAGTCACACCCTACATCTCTAAACGTTATATCTCAGCAACAACTAAGAGCATGTGCTCAATAAACTGGAGGAAAATCCCTTCATGTGTTGCTTTATGTGAGATTTTGAACAATAAAAAAACATTAAAAATGAACACTTATCAGAACACAAATTTCACAAAAAGAGCTCAAGGCAAGTGGAGAACTACAGAGCGGGGTGGGGGAGGCACAAATGCAGAAGGCAATGCACTTAATTTCAGAGCGCTGCTGAACAAGAGTTGTTGTTCCCATTCCTGGTTAGGCTATTCTGGAACTCAGCATCCTCTCGCCTCAGCCTCTTCAGTGCTGGGATGACAGGTGTGCAGCACCATGCCCAGCTGCAAGACTTAACAGGGCAGACTGCAGAACAAGCAGCACTATCTGTATTTGGTGGCTAGTGTAAACTTGACAAGATCTAGATCACCTAGGAGACAAACCTCAGGACACGACTCAGAAGGAATCTCTAGATTGGGTTAAGTGAAATAATTGAGGCAGGCAGACGACCTTAAGTGTGGGTGACATCATTCCATGGGCCACGGTGCTGGACTGGATAATAAAATAGCAAGCTGAGCACCAACATTCGTTTCTGTTTTCTGAGTTCTGATGCGAGACCAGATGACACCTGGGGCTACCGCTGCCATGTCTTCCCCACCACAATGGGCTACACCCTAGAACTGTAAGCCAAAACCCATCCATCTTTCCTCTCTCCCTCCCTCCCTCCCTTTCTTCTATTGCCTTTTCAGGAATTTTACCACAGGCATGAGAAAAGTAACACATGGACTTCCATAGCCTGCAATTCTTGCTGCCCATGAGTCGGTGATAAGCTTTAAGATTCTTCTCTGCTCTCCCCATAAAGCCTTGGAGTTGGTACCTATGGCCCTTACTCCTGGACTCCATCCCCACTTCGAACTCTGATCCTCTGAAGCTACCCAATCAGACTCCAGGGTGGGTCTGCTCGCTGCCATTCATTTCTCCCTCACCTTGACTTTCTCGTTGCTCTTTTTGGTCCTAGGAATCACACTCAGGTCCTCATGCTTGTGTAACAATCATTTTAATGACTATTAACTGAACTGTTTCTCCATTTCTTACCCACATTGTGATCTTTAATTTTTTTATCTATCTTCCCTTCCAAGCTCATGTCTTACATGTGTAAAACTGTCAACTAAAGTACACAGCACTTGATGAAAACGCACGTATAAAATTAGACAACCACCCTCAGTCCTCTCCTTGTTCATTTATACATGTCCTGACAAAATCATCAGGGGAAAAATATCAAACCCCAAGTATCAATCTCTTCAAGGTAGACAATCCCTGATCTATGATGATTCACCTTAAAAATTTTCAAATCTAGTATGGTACAAAATAACAAATGTTCATTTGGAATGGCATTTTGAATCCCAATCACTGTTGGGGGTCCCTGCTGTGGTCCAAGGCTCTCTTGTGGTGTTGCATAGCAACACTGAGTAACTGCTTCCAGTTAGCCACAGGCTAAGGAAGTGAACCACGGATACTCAACACCATATGGTGTTGACAAGCTAGAAGGCTTATACGCCAGTCAGATGTAGCAAACCCATTTCCACTTCTAATACTTCAAATTTCCTTATGTTCCTCAAGATGAAATCTATCAGTCAAGGAGAATCTATACTTACAACGGATTCTGTTTTTGTTTTGATCAATAAAAGGAAAATCATATATCATATTCTTTTTTCCCCACTAGTCATCAAGAAGAGTCCTCAAGAGTTGATTTCACCCGGGTGCTAGGGAAGTTCCCAGAAATCCACAAGGATGACCTTACCTTAGAGAGGGTACCTGAACTAGTCTACCCTAGTAATCAGATTGGTGAATACCCTAACTGTCATCACAGAGCCTTCATCCAGTAATTGATGGAAGCAGCTGCAGAGATCCACAGCCATGCACCAGGCGGAGCTTCAAGAGTCCAGTCGAAAAGAGAGAAGAGGGATTCTATGAGCAAGGGGCATTAAGATCATGATGGGGAGATGGACAGAGACAACCAAACTAGTGGGAACTCATGAGCTGTGGACCAATAGCTGTGGAGCTTCCATGAGACTGGACTAGGTCCTCTACATAGGCAAGACAATTATGTAGCTTGATCTGCTTAAGGGGCCCTCTGGCAGTGGGATCAAGATCCATCCCTAGGATGTGAACAGGCTTTTTGGAGCCCACTGCCTATGATGGGACAACTTACACAGCCTTGGTGCAGGGGGAGGGGCTTGGACCTGCCTCAGCTGAGTGTATCAGGCTCTGCTGACTCCCCACAGGAGGCCTTGCCTTGGAGGAGGTGGGAAGGAGGGGGTGGAAGCTGGGGGGCAGGAGGAGCGAAGGGAGGGGATCTGTGGTTGGTATGTAAAATGAATAGAAAATGTCTTAATTAAAAAAAAGAGTTGATTTCACTAAATTTATATGGCCTAGATTAAAAAGAAAAAAAATATTTCTATGTCCCACACTAAGACTTGTGGGTTCCATATCCAATACGGAGCTAGCAACTAATGTTTGTCTTTCATCTCAATGTACATTATCTTAGTTCTTTATATTATATGTCCTGGGAACAAAGAGAAAATAAGGCAAATGCTCCTCATGTAGTGATGCAAATTCACACGATGCATTCTAGTATGTTTTTCTGGATCTCCTGAATAATTCTAAACAACCACACTCCCCTTTCCTTTTTAAAGCAACACTTGAAAAATTACCATCATGAATTCAAGTGATTACAACAAGTTGCAACAGCTCTACTGCACTGTAAACATTAGTGTTTTCATATAAATGTTTCATTAATTAAAAATTGCAATCCAAAGACTACTTACTATATTTTCATGATCAGCTCCTTCCATAGAAAAATGAACAAAAAATTCCTCCTCTAATAGGCAAGGCTTTAGGCCACATCTCTTCCTCCCTGAATTAATTTCCATTCTATAGCCCAATAAAATCTTATCTTAACTGAATATACTTTTTGTGAAAAATATATTTTAAACAAATTTTCTGTAAAATATGTTCATAAGTGAAAGACAAATTTTTATATCTTTTCCTTGTAAGGCAATACTATTAAATTCTTTTGTGTGTGCACCGACTTCCTGCCACAATGATTAGTAGGCAAGAGAATTAGCATAAATATCTCTTTTTTTTCCTGAGACACTAGGCATCAACTTCAGGGTCTTGTATATTTTACACAAGCAATCTACCGCTGGGCTACACCTCCAGCTACATAAACACACTAAAAATGTTGACATTTTTTTGAACAAAATGGTAAAATGCTGCAAATTAATCTTGTATAATGAATCAAATTGAGGCTCTTTCTCCTCCATTCATTGCTTAGAAATGTCTGGAGTCCTTATTGTTAAAATGAGGCACAGTTTAGCATAAATTCAATTCATAACTTCCGGTTTTATCAGATACAAGCACCAAAAAAAAGCAGAGGTGCAAGAAAGGAATTTTCTTATGGCTACATCATTCCACTCAAATTTAAAAAGCTCTTCTTCTGTTATATGCCAAAAATAATAGACCTGTCACAAAAAATTATGCTTAATGATCTATAATTGGGCAGTATAGTTAGGTCTTTTATCAATTTGGTTGAAGAGAAGAACTGGAAATTCCTGATATTCAGAAGGATTTTTTTATCACTAGTGTTACATATCTGCTCAACCATATGTCAGTATCTCCACTGGTTTAGTTAGGTCCTGAGGGAAAGACTTGTCCA